TTTGACGTCCCTCGGACAACTTGTAATCCTGGATTAAGGTGGTCTTATGCCTTGAAATTAATGTTTTTTTGTAAAACACTGGACTCTGTGGGTCGACAGTTTTGGTACGACGTTTAAGGGCTTCGCAGTCTGACCAAGAAAAAATGCTCTTCTCTTGGTCTGACTTAAAAAATGAGCTTTCCAGGTCACATGCCACAATAGTTTTAACTACTGGGCCGGGTTTTTCAAAGCCCGGTTAAGAATTTTGATTTGAGTTTAGTAACTTCAGTTTTCGGTGGGGTTTTCTGTTTGTTATGTTGGTCCTTCAGTTTTGAGCTTGACTAACCTCAAACTACACAAAACGTAAGCAGTAAAAACATTTTTGTGCAAGAAAAATTAATACTTCGGTTAACTTTTAATCCTGGTTTAGCGTTAACCGCCTTTCGAACTACACGGCCCTGGTTTTTATTCATTAAAATGAACAACTAGCCGCTAAGTGTCAAAAAGTAATGTCCATTATAGGCACAATAACGTGCTAATGAATGGTTCGATAAGCAGGGTATTAAGTTCATCCTGTCCGTAAACAGTTGTCCAGGGCCTGGTTGTTCAAAGCCCGATTAAGCTAACTCAGGATTAGCGAGAAATTTTATTTCAGTTTTGCAACTTTTCGGTGAGGTTTTATGTATAAATTGTATCTCCTTCTGTTTTGCGTTTGGATAATCTCAAACTACATAAAACAAAAGCGGTAAAAACATATTGTTACAAGAAAAAGTAATACTTCGGCTACCTTTTAATCCTGGGTTAACGTTAGCCCCCTTTCGAACAACCCGGCCCAGGTGACAAACCTCCGAAAACAGTGTTTTGAGAGTTTTTTTTTTTTTTCGTGAAAATGGGAATATTAACTAATTGAAGAAGAATAGAATGTTCAAAAAAATGTTCAAATGTTGTTGTTTATAGTGGTCTAGAATACAATAGTACAATAGTAATTTATCTCGCAATTATTTCAATTTGTAACCACGGACGCCACGAACCGTGTTTGCAGATAAATTCCACAACTTTGGCCCCTGCTAGGTTAACTAAGTAGCACCTTCAACCAGTCCATAGGAGCGAACAACTAATACTAGTTATATTAACTGAATTACAGGGAAAACATTTCATAAATTGAAAATTTTATTGATCAGTACTTGGAACGACTTATCTAATTGTGGCCTTTACCAACCTTGAAAATTTGACAACATTCGGCCGAAACCCAATGGAGATATCGTGTGTAAAATACTGGTGATCTGTCTATTTAACCGGCTTTGTGAGAAATATGACTTAAAAGTTTTACTTCTTTCTCCGAGAGCCCAAATTAGCCCTGTGAATGGGTGGGCGGGTTGAGAGAGGGGGGCAGAGGAAGGGGTAGGGGCATATCGAAATGTTTTACATAAATGTTCCGCTGAATACCCGAATATACACCGGTCATAGAAAATTAACCAAGTATAAGGAGCATATAAGATGGTAGAGGAAGCAATGTTCAGGACCATGATGCAAAATTCTCATAAGTGCACATCTTTAAAGCTTTCCTGTCAAGTATATCTATTGTTTTTCCACATTAGACTCGGCTCTTACAAATTTCCAACTTAAATCAAAGAAGCCCTTCATATTGAATGGGAAAGACCCGCGTTGAATAAACAACTCAAGCATGTCAATTTAACACTCCTACTTTGATTACAATTTGTATTCAGCATTTTTCAAAGATTTGTAATCGCACCTTTTTTTTGGTACCCTTAAGTATTATGTAACTTTTTCACTATTTGTACTATTATTCTACATTGTGTAATTTACACCTACTTGTTACCTACTTTATATAAAGTCACTCACTTGTAAACAGCTTTTAACTGAAGATGGATACTGAGTATCCGAAACATGTCTTGCAAATTTAAACGGTGTGTCGTCTTCTTTAAATGTTTGATTTTAATCTATTAAAATGTACTGAACTGAATCCATTTCGTAAGTACTTTTGGACTGTAAACGAGCGTTACTATGGGCGTTGCTATGTTGAAATATAGAGTACCGGTGTGCAGATTTCTTAATTTAAACGTAAATCAAGAGGTAATTGGAGCAAAATCATTTCAAAACGCGTTTTGCAAATGGTCAGAAATGTTGAATCTCCATGTTTCGGAAAAATGTTTTTTTGAGAAAAATTTACATCTGCAGGTATAAGACCAACTGAAAATATTAAGCGGCACTCGAATCACTCGCCGCAGGGAATCAAATACTTTGCAAGTCGCAACGAATTTACTTTTCCTTGAACTTAATGCAGTGTCACCTTCACAGGCAGTCTCGAAACTTCCGGAAAATAACACTGTCAGTAGATTTTAAACTAAGCTTTTTAAGTCTTAGGCTCGAACGTGACTTAAAGCTAGCTCGTGACTTGATCATCAGCTGAGCTTGGCTCGTGCTACTATTGAACTCTTTTTTTAATTTCCTACTTCAATTTAACGTTGCATGTTTGCCTGTATAGCTCGTGATCCACCCCACCTTTTCGCGTCGCGTGCGTTAGCCGTAAACACGTTCATTCAAAAGTATAAGTTAGCTAACGGACTGTAGGAAACGTAAAGTTTAAATCGGACTCGACAAATTTTTTGAAGCTCTGTGAACCCTTAAAAAACACTTGACCAGTTTTCGTCAGTTATGCTACTGAAAGATTGGCACACACATGCTAGGGGACATGTCGCAGCGACAGTTGTCCTCGTGTACCATGCCTGTTTTTGCAAACGCTTTCAATATCGCGTCGTGTACTTTGTTCTTGCAAACTGTTTACGCTACAACACATTTTTATGACTCAATCGGCTTCGTGTGCCAAGCTTGTGCACTCTCCTGCCAAATGCGTCTTTTACGTCCGCACGAAGGGGCTTGTCCCCGCTCCACGTCCCCACAACATGTGCTGTAGTATGTGCCGACTTTGACAGAGTCTACCAAATGTGGTGACGCAAACAAAATTGATCACGCTGTACAACCCAGCATTCCACGTGCATGTTCAGTCACTTGAGTTGGAGTTGTAACAAGGCCGTGCTGATGTAACATGTCGAATTTCATTCTCAAATACACGAAAGATTTTCAATCAAATTTAACCTTTAGTAAGTGAGCTTAGTAACCTTTATTTACCCTCGGCAATGTTTATGGCACTAGTGCTAGTGGGGCCGAGTAAACAACTGAAACAAATCTTCTCAGTTACGACGAAATCAAGTGAATTCTTGATGTTTCAGAGCTGCATTTGACATATTTTCACAATCACGGTGAGAAAACGTGGTCATCCACATGAAAGCGTTAAGTTTTGTGTTTTCTTATAAAATGTTACAGTCCTTGCTCTTATTTTATTTTTCCTTTATCTCGTCGTAGAGCACTTTGGCGTGTGTCCCTAACATAATATAATGATCCAGAAAAAAAAAATGACTTGATGATGAGAATGTTTGTATTTTTGGCCCGTTACAATGCAAGATGAAAGCAGGAGAAAAGGGGTGGGGGGGCGCTCAGATCACTTATTGCTCAAAACAACACGGTGATTTTATGTTTTAAAGTTCATGATCTGAGTGCCAGCCGCAAAACTAATGAAATTTACGGTGGTCTTAACGATCACTTATCGCTTCATGGAAGATATTGATAAGAATTAAAATAAAAAATTCAACGGCTGGTTCGCCATTTCAACGGCACACATTTTCGAAGTTGAAAAACAGAAATGTTCATGATATACGCCCCTCAGAGAATGCCACAATTAAACGGCCCACTCGACCATTACATTTTAATCAGTACCCGGGAAATGAATTCTTCCGTCTTGCAAACTCCTTGTAGAAGTGCCCAAATACGATTACTTCCCATCGCCTACAAGAATTGTTTTGAAAGCGAATCGTATCATTTTGGAATGGCTGTTTTGACTACAAAGCTGATAACAGAAAAGTTGCACTAATAAGCTACTAATACGTTGTAATCGGCGCCTGGAGTACAGTCTGTAACAGTGAACCATGAGGAGAAAGTCCACCCGAGTGGGGTGCCTTTTTCAGGCTTGAGGCATATAACAAGCGAGCTTAACTTTAGGGAAAACTACCATTTCGAGTTTTAGGCCTTTTCAAAATTTCTCAAACTCAGTGAAGAAACGCACCTGTAACGTCCAACTCATCTCGGAATTATAGAAAAGGTATGCAGTGTTCCTACTTTGAACACGATTTTTATACGGAAGATATGTGAAAGGGTTACCTTTCGTTTTGAAATTGGTATAAAAAGAGCAAGGGTCCTTCGCTCCCCCTCTCCCCACCACCCCCGGAAAGCGTCGGCGATCGGAATGATCGAGATCGCGAAAGGAAAAGGAAATTTGATCGAATTTCGTTTATTTAGCCAACGTGATACATATACCCAATCTCCCACTACGTGCTTATGCGTAGCGAAACAAAACTAAAGATCGATTTTATTTTTCTCCCCGTTTTATGAGGATGGAGAAATGAGATTTCCTTTAGATAATACTAAATCTATCAAACCTTCACAAACTTCGTTATATCAATATTGTAACAGCTCTCGGAGACCATTGTGTGTGTCATCAAGGATTTTAAACAAACAACTGGTGTGAAAACTCAGCAAGTAGTTTTTTTAAATTTTTTTATGGGGGAAAATGAGGTTTTTTCATCAGATTCAGCGGATTTAGCAAAACAATTCAATCGGTTGTTATAAATGACATACGATCTTGCGAAAATAACTAAAATCAAAAAACATTCTGCGGGTAATCGAAGTCCTTTAACCGATGCCGACTTTTCAGCTTGAATTATCGAAACTGAAGTTGTTTGGCGATCGGCGGCGTGCTCAACTCGTGAGTCATGCGAGGGAGTTGTGATCAAAAAGCAGCGAACAAAGGCAATGAAAATTTTACATTGTGTCTTTCACAAGACTAGTCATTTCCTTTGGGAGCACCGCTGCCGCTAAATAGGGTGGCGTGATTGGTCACTCTGTACTTCCGGTCGCACTGGATAATAAAGAATGACAACCACGTGACATATGTCAATCGGCTGGCGTCCGAGCCCAAATATACAGTTCACAGATTGAATTTCTGATAGATTTCCATGCCTGCGTGAAGGATTTACGATCCTCCGAGTTTTATTTCTTGTGTGTAGTCTCTTGTGATAAGCTACAGTGGCCATGGATTTCCTGTTTTACTCGAAGAGGAACCTTGTTCAATTCATGTGTTTCTGGGTTTGGCTTTGTTTTGTCTTGTTAGGTAAGCAAACTTTTTGCCTAAATTAGAGCATCTTGCAGCTATTCTAATCTAACCGGGCATGGCAAGGTAGAAATGTCATCTTGTACTGCGGTAATTCTATCATTCCTTGGGTCAAAATGATACCTTCTCGACGGAGACACATCTTGAATTCTGAATTACGTGTTTGAATTGCTCCTAAGGTTGATTGAAGATTCCAAATGGTGAAATAGGGCTCGTTATTGTCGCCCGGTCGTAATTGGAAGAAAAAGCAAATGTGCGCTGTGGTAAACGGCGGCTTTTTCTTTGTTGTCTGTTAATCTTGTTCTCGTTTCTTGGCGGATCAAGAGAACTTAATGGAAGAGTTCATAGCGATACGTATGCCTACTGCTGTCTGCTTTAATTTTAAAGCAAAAGTCCTGGCTAGAAGGGCTCTGCTGACTTACATAATTTTCGCCAAGGTGAGAATGCATGACGGCTTTACCCAATAACGCGTTCCCAACATAATGTCTACTCTTTCAGGATCGTCGCTCACAGCTTCTCAATCAACTGGGCTGAAGTGGCAAACTCAACCAACGCCACAAACAGTAGAAGCCGGCAGTAGCGTGTCTTTTACCTGCTCAGCAGATTACACGAAAAAGATACAGCTTTACGAGTGGGAACATAATGATGTAAGTTTACAAAAGGACGATCCTCGATACACTCTTAAGAACGATGGTAAAACATTAGAAATATCCCAAACAAAGTTCGAGGATCGCGGAAATTACCGATGTGTGGCCACAAGAAAGGGTAAAGTCCTTGGTAGAAGTCAAAATGCAGCGCTGAATGTTAAAGGTACGTGTGACAAATTGCTTTTATCGCGAAATTTAGGGCGTACTGTTTTCGTTCGTGAGCTACTCGCGCCTTTGTCACTTTCTGAGATTTCTCGGGGCTTGTTTTCACTTGTTTTTGCGGGGGGCCACGAATTGAAGTGTTGAACAATCGATTGCACGCTTGTTGAAATCATTCCACAACAACGGTGTATCACTAAGCGAAGAGGCGATCGAAAGTCAATGTTATAGACTTGTGTTCAAATGTGTTACCAAAAATAAATCTTTCATTCATGCTTTCTCATCACTCAATCAAGGAATCGGGCTGGAATTCACGAAGTTACAATTGAAGTCTTCTTGAAAAGCTAGTTTATTAGAATTTTAAATTTATAGACTCTTTCCCTGGCTTTGAATTGCGCTATTGTTCTTATCTTATTTAGATGAAGCGTTCGCTGAACTTTTACATTTTTGCCGTTTCCTGTTTTATTGTTAATGTTTGTTCGGCATCCTTGATTCAAGATGCAGTTTATTTAATATTGTCCGTCATGCCGATATATTACAGAGTTTTGTGTATATTAATTGTTACAAGCAGAGAAAATTTTCATACGCTCACAGAATTTTGGAAATGCGATCGCCACTTAGATTCCTCATGAATGCTACCTTCCCACATATTTTGTGGTAATCCATATTTTCCCCATGGATCAGCTTTCTCTGAACCACGCTGGGTAATGTAGAACGCCAAGAATCGTTTGAAATAGTTTTTCCAGTTTCGCGCAGTTTCAATATTCGTTGTTGCTCCAAATGTGCTCTTTATAATGAAAGCTAAATATCATATGGCGCGCTTGAGCTTTTGATTGCTGATAAGATACTCTTGAGTGTTCGGTTCTAATCATTAGCACATTAACAATTTTCAGAATTGATTCTTTAGTTAGAGACGTCAAGATTATTGGCTGTTGTGTTTATTTGAGTACATTAATCAATTGAAGCACCATCACTCTTTTGGTGGGCATTGGAAGTCAGTTTTTGTATTCACTGCTCAATTATTAATTAAGAACTTGCAGAGTTTTCTTTTTCTGTGATATCAGCCGAGAAATAGCCATTTCATCAAACAGCTGTTCTCCGACTTGGGAAATTGCCAGTATAAATAAATCATTATATTATTTCAAGATTGCATTCAGTTTCCATAAAAAAAAAATCATGGCCGAGTATTTTGCTGTGACATAATAACCCTTTAGAGGCCTTGTAGATTGATAACATTCGTCTCATTTATGTTGATTCATTTAACACTTCTAATTTTTCTAGAAGCAATTTCACTGTATTTTGAGACACTAACACTCTAGACTCGCAGACTTAATTATAAGGGCCTCAAAAAGCATGTCTGAATTAAATTACTTTTTGGCTTTCTAAAAAGAAATGATTCCTGATTACAGGTGTATGTAAGATTTTATCCAACACCCAAGGAAGGAACCCTCAATTTACTTTTCTCAAGAATGCAGATAAGGAGGAAAGATTTTTTGGAAATTGTGTATTTTCTTTGTGATCATCACCAAAGCAAGACAAACCTGTTTGAATCAGGATGTTGCATGATTGATAATTCGTTATTTCCTTCAAGGTTGAATTGAAGCAAACCAATGAACAAATTTATTCATTTCCGTTGGACCATCACTCATGCGTAAATGAGAAAATATGCAATTTCCGCTGGCTTCTCATCTCTTGACCCTGGGTAAATGAGTTACAAGCAAGTCAACACTGCTTGCTGAGTATTTAGAGGGTTTGGGCCTTATTCTAAAGTTGATATTTAGGCTGTTTATTTCCTTTCAGCAAAAAAATCTGTCAAACATAACTGGGTGGCACAACATTTGCTCCTCCCAGGAAATATAGAAGTACTTTATTGTGAAGCAAAAATAAAGCATCTTAAGTTTGAAATTATCCATGTGCTTCATTCTTGACCTAAGAATTTTTATTGAAGCTGACCAGTGTGCGAATATGCATCTTGAGGGTCTCCTATACAGCGTTATTGCCTTCAAGCTCAAATTTGAAATAACTATAATTATTAACATCCCAGTTTATAGTGCAGACATTATCTTTGCACAATTACGGTGACATTTCTCACAATGTCTTAGTAAGGGTTAAGACTGGGAGATTAAATTCATATGGATTAAGAGAAACTTTGCATTCATTATTTACAAACATTTAAATCCTGTAGATAGTGTGATTAAATTCTGTCAATCATAGAATTTGTAGCTTCAATCTATAACAACAAAAATTAGTTATTGTTATTTCTGTTCAATGTATCTTAATGTGTCTTTTTGCTTTTCTCTACGTATCTTGCTTTCAAAAAGAGGCATATATGATATAGTACATTTTCCAGAGTTTGAATTATTTTGAGTAAGTGCATCAAAGAAGAACAGAAAATTATCAACTTTAGTCAGCCCTGTGAGCTGCTTACACACAAGATACAGTCCAACAAACAATGACCGCATTCTTAAAAGATACGAATTAGGGAGTTTAAGGTCCTTATAATTACCTTTACATATAAGAACAGGGCTGGGGAAAAAATTGAATTCCAGCATGCCCTTGGGACAAATAGTTCTCTAATTTTGCTTCCCCTGGGCAAGTCTTGGTTTGCCCTTTAAACCCGGCGTGATCAATCGATGACAATCGATCATCAGAAACCAATCGATCAATCGATACCAATCGATAACAATTAGTTAATTGTTATCGATTGCTATCGGCCAATCGATGACCAATAGATAATCACAAGCTAGAGTCCTCAATGTGGCAGACATTTCAACTTCAAGTCATGGCACAGAGATGGGAAGCGGTTCTATGGAGGATACAACAACCAGTAAACATTCACTCTTTTGGTGCACATTTCACTATGGATCAGTGCGGTGAGAAATTGTGGAAATGTGCGCTCGGATGGTGTCCGTACTATGATGACGAAAAATGGAAAAGGTTTTATTATTTGTTGCTTCACCTGTTGTTCTTACTAGAAATACTTGGCTTGTATCTTGATATTTTAACCT